ACCATTAGTATCAATATTAATTAATACTACTTCAACAAAGACCACACCGTGCGAGGGCATCATGGAGCAAAAGTGTCGGAACAAAAAAGATGTGCATTACGTACCTGCACATAATAACTCTGCTCGCTTTTACAAAATGTACCTTTGTTTATATAATAATTGAGAAATATCAATTTTTTAATACGTCAAAGCTCAAGTAATGTATATATAGTGCATTTATCTAAAAAATGTTCCATCAAATAGAAAATCTAACATATTTCTTCCACGCAGGTACACAATGCGCATCTTTTTTGTTCCAACACTTTTGCTTTATCATGCTCTCCCACGACATAACGTTTGCTGAATTAGTATTAATTAATGCTAATGCTAATGCTAAGCCAGCATCTCTAGCCTAGTCAGAAAATCAGACAAATTTGAAACTAACCTAGAAAGTTCAGCCACATTGTAAATTGGACTGAATTTTAATTTGACCATAATGAGTATATATAATCTTATTTCCTATAACCAGCGACACCTATGTTTACAATTCTTTTTACTCGCCTCATTCTTATTGGTCAGCAGTCGTCTTTGTTACTGAATGCAGAAGAGAAAGAACAAAGGATGAAGAATAAGAGTTTCAAGTGATATATATATATATGAAGGAAGTAGATGTATCTTTCAATCATTTTGCTTCTACTTATATGGTTTCGTCAAGACACAAAAAAAAACTATAACAAGAAGGCACAAATTTGTATCGAAAAGACGCCTATCGATGTTTCACCAATTCAATTTCCTAACTATTTCTATGAAAGATGTAAACAATTGAAAATATACTGTATCAGTACATACATCACTCGTTTGTAATTGACGGTCCAGCCATGCCGAATAATATTTTTCAAAGCACATATTTTTTCTCAAAAGTTCTGACAAAAACATGTCTTTCTATGAATATTGACTATTTCTCCGATATTCTTCAATGTTAGTCTTCAGTAATTTTCAAAAACTTCATATTAAGAATTTAAATTAGTTATTTAACTTTTTTTTGATACTAAGGAGAGTGACTAAGCTTTCTTTGAAATAAGATTAATAAAAATACAAAATACTTAGGAGTATCCATAGACTGCGAGCTTCAGAATATTAAACAGAACCAATATCTAACGAAAAAAAATCAAATAGTTGTATAGGCTTTTTACAAGAAACATTTTACATTCATATTGAATTAGTCATTTCGATCAGAAACGTGTGATAATGAAAGTAATTGATGAGAATAGAGTGTTATATTGTTATTTCCTACTTTTCTGATTAGATAGAACGAACTATCACATGTGAATACGTTAATGAATATTTAGAAATATGATTGATTTTTGAACAATGAGTAATGATCTGTGTGAGCTGTATTCGTAATAAACTTGAAGCTTTCTTTGGAGATAGTACATTTTATATCGTATTTCTGAAGAATCCTACAGTCACTTTGAGCATATAAATTTTTGATGACTGTATATCTGAAATCAATCTTTTTCCATCAAAGTGCTGATTAGTGAAATCTGTTTTTGTAATAGTTGCTTAAAGATAAATCTAATTTTTAATTTTTATTTCTCATTTTATACAGATCAAGACGGTATTTTCTACTACTTTCCTTCAGCGATAGTGAGATAGAAGTAGCATAGCAGTTTTTTATATCAAATCTAAAATTTCAATCTATTTTGTGTCTTATTTTCTTCAGTCATGTAATTTTATTCAAAATACAAAGATCTACGAAGTGAAAAAGTGATATTCTTAATTTAGCTTGACGAGCGAATGTTAATCAGAATTGCGAAATAATCAGTCAAAAGTAAATCCTGTAAAAGAGTAGTGCGTGTATTCATTGCTTACCATGTGGCCATAAAAGAAACACTACTATACTTATGTGAAGCTACTTAGAATAAGATTGTATAAAACAAATAAATCATTTCCTCGAAACATAAATCGTTGATTGATATCTTGTCAAAATGTGATTTTCAACACATTACATGAGATTCTGTTGAAACTTTGTAGTCATAGTCGAGATATCAGTCTCGTCTTATAATCTAGTTCAATTTCATTCGTCTTTATCTTCTAGAGATATCACAACTTTACTAGATACATGTATTGAATTATTAGAAAGTTACGTTCCTTTAAAAAAATTTAGCTCACCGTACGATGTAGATTGAATTTTTTTTATTTTAAAGAGACTGGAGTTGAGTGACTCTGTTTTATACTCTCTTTTGTTGTGTCTTTAAGACATGTATACAGTGAAAACATATTTGATAAAATTAAAACACTCTATGTGAAAACAACGAGTTTTGATAGTCAAAACATTATTATCTTTTACCTAAGATCTATTTTGAAAAAGACTACCGGAGTCAATCAGCTGAAGTCTCTTTAAAATAAAAGAAAAATTCAATCTACCTCGTATGGTGAGCTAAATTTTTTTAAAGATACATAACTTTCTAATAATTCAATACATGTATCTAGTAAAGTTGTGATATCTTTAGAAGATAAAGACGAATGAAATTGAACTAGAGTATAAGACGAGACTGATATCACAACTATGACTACAAAGTTTCAACAGAATCTCATGTAATGTGTTGAAAATCACATTTTGACAAGATATTAACCAACGATTTATGTTTCGAGGAAGTGGTTTACGATAAAATCAACAAAACAACCTTTGTGCAAGGGGACATAATTATTACGTTTCCAAAAAAATTATAAAACATTGTTATAAATGATGCGAATAAATGATTTTTTTGTACATATTTTTATTGTAAATGTAGAATCATTTTATGTTCATCAAAGTAATCATTTTAATACATTATAGAGTGAGCGTTTTTCAGAGTTATTTGTGACAGTTTTTCACCATTATCATTATGTAAATTTCCGACCATTTTCATACCATTTTTGCGTTGTAAATTTTGGTTGGGAACTTGGTTGGACTAGCATTGATTAGTTATGCTTGTGGATATATTGATATTTTAATTGGCATGCACTAATTGTTATTTATTTTTTAACCTTACATATATGATATATTTTATCAATATGCTAACGATATCTATGTATACAACCTTGATAGATTTATTTCTCTGAACGAATGATAAATTATATGATTTATTTGTTTACTTTATTTATGTTATTTTTTTTTCTTCTTCACTTATTTTGTATCAAAGGATGCAATTTTGTTTTATTTAGTCATTATAATGTCAGATAAATTCATTCGACATTATTTACGTGATAAAATGATGATATATCAACTGATCGTGAATCATATCAACAACAAAAATGGGCACGAACAACAATCAAGACAAAAGAAAATGTTGAATAACGACAAAAATTTCCACTATTTGTCGTATCAACAGCTATTTATAAAGTGTTCCATGCGAACAAATAAACTTCAATGGAAGAAATGCACTTAATGGTCAATCATTTACAAGAATGTACTCAATTTACTATTGATACAGAGTCAGAAAAAACAAATGGTCAATTAGCATTAATACAAATACAGACTAAGCCTTCTCAACTACCATTATTAGTAATACTAATTGAATTACAACATCTTCCACCTAATAATCTATCTACGTATGTAAAAATTAAAGAATTTTTTATATTAGTATTTAGATCTAGAAATAAACTGTACTTGTAGGGTAATATGGACAAGGAGCTTGATCCAACAAAAGATTCTCATTTATTTAATTGGCCAACACTAACATCAATGATCGACATACAATTATATTTCTCGGATTGGTATGAGTGGGCACTGATTCATTGTGAGTCATGTCACCCGAATTGTCATCAACTTCATCATCCTCATAGTGTTGATTATGATAATGTTATTACACAAAATTATTCGTCATCAGTGTATGTTTGTCTCGAACAAAGTCTATTTTGCCCATATGAAAAGGGGCTTTTCAGAAGGCGTTAGCTTATGCTGCACATATGTTGATTGACAAATTAAGTACAGTTAGTGATTGGACTTCAGGTTTAACATCAAATAATTCAAAATTATCAACTGGTCGAAGAAAAAAGATGATTATTTAAGCTATATATGGACTAAATCAATGAAAACAGGACAAAATTGTTGCTTTTTAAAACTCAAAGGAGAATCAGGAAAGTGCAACAGAATTAGTCTGAGATGTTTAGTTAACGAATATGAGCTTGGATGTTCATCAGTGTATTTCTGAATAGGAGAAAAAGCTCTAAGTTTATAAGCTGTGGTGGCGACATGAAAATTTGTAAATCGTGACCTTGATAAAAGACAATCATTATAGCGTAAAAGTAAAGAAACTAATATTTTTTTAAATATGTATTGAAGGTTCCTTCGATTCTCTGTGCTGCTATATAAAAACAAAACAAAAAATACTGTGCTTCTTCTACGATGATTGAATTTTAGACATTCTTACTTTGTTAGTCACGTAGCTAATGATTATTCAAATTAATTTAGTTTTTCTTCTGAAACAATAGTCCGTCGAGTCTGAAACGTTGCATGTAAACATAGTTTCATGTGCTAATTAAGTATGTAATATATTCATTTTTTTTCGTTCTGTTGCGCAAGAGTATATATAGGAAATTAAACTGAGTCACGTCGCTAACGAATTTTTCACGTCAATAAAAATAATTAAATTCGTTCACATGATTCATGCGCTCCACTATATATAACAGTCGTTTTCATCGTATTCATTGTTTATAATAATGTCTTTGTCATCTGCTGAACGTTTTTGTATCTTCAAGGGGAAATTGAATCTTGAAGAAAATAAATCATTATTAGCAAAATTTCGAGAAAAAGATGCTGCTTGGCATCGCAAATATCGACAAATTATCAACAAACATCCAACTACACTTGAAAAACTTCGTGAACAAAATCGAAAACGTCAAGCCAAACGTCGATTAAAATGACGATCTCAAAAAACCAACCCACGTTTAAAGAAAATATCTCCACAAATAGTATCAACATCTCCATAGAAATGTCCCCAAACTTTAGCTAAAGCTGTCCATCATTCGAAACGCAGCCTTCCAGCTAGTCCAACGAAAAAAAAGAAATAATTCGACATTTAGCTATCAAAAATGGAATAATTCTTCAACCAGTGATCCAACCAAGACCAACTGATATATCTGAAACTACAAAGAACAAGGTTATTCAATTTTATCAATTAGATGAAATCAGTAGCGTTGCTACTGGCAAGAAAGATTTTGTTATAATTGACACTCCAGATGGTTCAAAAGTCAAAGTTCAAAAACGACACCTTGTTATGACGGTTCAAGAAGTCTTTGAACAATTCAAACTTCAGTATCCAAATGAAAAAATTGGTTCCACTTCATTTAATTTGCTGCGTCCAAAACATGTTTTACCAATGTCCAATATTCCTCAAAATGTGTGTTTATGTAAACATCATGCAAATATTGGTTTATTATTACGTTCATTAAGCTCCATTTTGAAAGCACCAAAAACAACAGTAAGTTTTCGTGAAGCTTTGGTTTGTGACAGCAACAACGAAAAATGTATCTCATCAACATGTGAAAAATGTGGTGAATTAAAAAATTTTGATAAATTATTTGAATATGATGATGAAATTGGTGGCAAGGATTTAGTTTATCATCAATGGGAAACATTTGATTCAAAAATTGTTAAAATTGAAAAGTCTGGTACAATTCGAGATGCAATTGATGATTTAAAAAGTCAAACCGAAGATTTTTTGATGCATAGTTTTATTACTCACGTACAATATATCCATTTTGAAGATTGTAAACAAAATGCAAGTCCAAAATCTATTGTATTACAAATTGATTTTTCAGAAAATTTTCGTACAAAATATCAAGATGAAGTTCAAAATGCATTTTTTAATTATAAGCAAGCGGCTGTATTCAATGCGGTGGTTTGGTCTGGTTCAAATTCTCCTGTAATTAATTACTCATTAATATCTGACGATGTATCTCACGACAAATATTCACTTCATGTTTTCTTAACAAAAATAATCATGAATTTGAAAAAAAATTTCCTTCACTTGAAACTGTAAATATTTTTTCAGATGGTGCAGCATCATAATTTCGACAACGTTTCGCATTTGCTAACTTGACGTTTTTGTCCGACGACCATCATCTTAATTTAATTTGGAATTTTTTTTTCAAGTGGATATGGCCGTGGGACTGTTGATGGTGTTGGAGGTGCTGTCAAGAGGTTGGTTTGGAAAGGTATGATGGCAAAACAATCTATTGTACGTAATGCTAATGATTTTGCACATTATGCAACAGCAGTTGCCAAAAATATCAATATTATTTTTGTTGATGCACAAGACATTAAATCTCAATCATCATTACTTGATCAACGATGGAATCAAGTGCGAGCTGTTTCAAATACATTAAAAATTCATTATGTTAAGGCATTATCTCTTTACAATATTGAGGTCAAGAATTTCTCCTGATCTCCATTTAAAAGAAAAATTTTTGTTAAAGCCTTAAAAATTTCTTGTTATAGCTCAACTCTGTTAATTGTATTATTTAGATTTGCTCGTTATGTCTAGAAAATCTTTTTTATGATTTATTTAATATTTTCTTAGAACTTAAAATATGTCGAAAAGGTATGCAAAAAACAGTAGATTGGTGATCATTTAATTTATTATTGTACTTTCTTGTCATAAACTGTTTTCAAAAGTAATATATTGAATAAAATAAAAGCAGGATAGAATTAATTTATATATTTATATCTCGAGATACATAGTGACGCAAATACTTTTTTCTCTAATAGTTTTACAGCTTCTTTCTCATATGCAGGAAGAATGCTGGTTTAATCTAAACTTGTTCGACAGCCTTACTCTAATATACTCGTGAAGAACTTGTGGTGCGATTTTGACTATCACAAAATCTCATATGGATATAACAAAAGCGATACTGTTGCGAAAAAGAGAAAATAATTAGAAGGAATATCTTACTCTAGTAAAGTTGTCTGTTGTTGTCTCTAATTTCTCTTAAGCTGTCAGTTTTTTTCATGTAGACATAATCAAGTAGAATCCCATTCTAATTAATTGGTTTTCTCAGAAAGGTCTTTTAAGAACGCTGATATTTTAAAAAACTAACTTCCAAGAAACATTCACACAAGAATAGAAGTCGTTTATTTCCTTGCAAATAAATGAAGTAAGATTGGCAAAAATTTATTCCATTTGTACTGTGTCACGTCGCTAACGGCGATTGGACTTAAGTTTCTGAAAAATCTAGACGTTCCATGAAAAAACTTCATTTGCTTGTTGTGATGCCGCAAGAGTCGTCTATGTTATGCGCCATTTGGTTTTTGAAAATACTATCCTAGTTCGCAGAATTTTCCAAATAAAGTACACAAGGTGACAATTAATGTCTTTTTCGGAGTCACGTCGCTAACGCTAGTTTTCTTTCAATAGCTTCTTTTAACAAGTCCCTATAAAGCTAATTTTGGTAATTTCTGTGCAACTCTTCAGCATAAGTATCTCGTATAAATATCAGCTCTAATGAGAGCTCCTTTGCAAACATATTCATGTTTCAATTTTACGAAGTCACGTCGCTAACGAATGATTTTACCCATATGATTGTTTTTCAACGACGTATCTTATTAGACCAGTTTTAGAAAGGTGGACATTCAAACAGTTAAAAAATAAAAATATTATTGAATTATTTACATCATTTTAATCACTACCATTTCCAGCAAATAATTCACCAAATAAAAACAATTCAACTAAGTATTAAGCAACAAAAATTATTTAATATAAATGATGATGAAATTTATCTTAGTCAACTTACTGGACCAGTTACGAATAAACAACCTGAATATAACGAAATTTCAAATGATAAGAATGAATTTAAAAATAATGAATTGCTACCAAATAATAATGATACATTGTATGAAGCAATATCAGATGACGATAATGAAAAAAATTTATCATTACCATCATATGATAATGACTTACATGTCAACAACAATGATATGGTTGATGGTGTCAGTGATTATGAACAACAACAATCTTTCAATAAGAAACTTCAATTATATAGAGGAACACGGTCAGATGACGCTCGAAAACAACGAAATCGAAAAAGAAATCTTTATTTCCAAATGCGGCGTTATAGACATTTTATTACCCGTTCATTCTACTGTAGATTTACAATCAAATTAGTTCGGCACATTCTTGCTAAATATAATATTCATTATATTCATGTCAAATTATTTGATGATTTATTAATTATTGATGTAAAAAACAAAATAATTCAACAACAAAATGAACGAAGACTACCCGGTGATATATTTCATAAACATTATTATTACCTGTTTCGTCATGAAGCTCGATATTTCTGAAGAAAATCAAATGATGTATAGGCTCAAACAACAATGCTAAACATTTTTTTTTTCTATTGTTGTATTTTTTCTTCATTATCAAATTTTTCTTCTCTCCTTTCATCTCTCTCAAAAAATATCTATTTTGTAAACAAAAATTGTTTTCCTTATCGGGGAAGAGTGTTATGATATGATATCTACATCTTTATAATTGTTTTATTTTTTCTTTCTTTCGTGCCATCTTTTCTTTTGTTCTTCTCTACCTTTTTTCTGATATATATATATATATATGATACACCGAACCAGGGTGATTTTAAGAATAAAAAGTTGTTTTTCATTCATTGACCTCACGTTTGTCCTTAACTTAATAAAAAGAAAAAGGAAAGCATTACAATTCCTATGATTATATATGGAATCAAGAGTTGAAATATCTAGTATGGTCGTACAATCTTTACTTAAACGTAGCAGTGCAATAATTTTTTGAGGAAAAGGTAAGAGAATCCACAGGATGAATGCTATTTTGTGAATAATCGTAATACGTGAGACAATTGTTCAGATTGAGCTGACTAATGTGCTCCATATATGCATGAGTTATCAGACAATGATTTTCAAAATGAATAGAATGGATTCAGTCGAGGGTCAAACGAATCATAATGACGAGCGTTACTTGTTAATAAATATGAGAAAAATGATACATGATAAATAGGAAGTAATGCAAAAAACATGGATAAAAATGATTTGTCTCTTTGATAAAACTAATTGAGCATCAATAAACTTAACGAGGGCCTCCATAACCACCAGGATATGTGTCCTGTGGACGACCAATCATACCGTCATTGTTAAGATCAACATGGGTTGTTTTTTCGATTTTGCTTTGTATGCCTAGTCAATGATAAAGGA